GAGGTTGTGGCCGTTACCGGAGCTTTTGCTGTTAAATACACTCAGTGTTTAAGAGGCATTTGCAGAGGTGAGGTGTCTTCAGTGCTGGGCGATGGCTGAAATGTTTGCAGTTTTGGAGAGGAGTCGTTAAATTCCCCTTTGGTGGAATCTTTTGTGGGCCTACAATTTAATTCTGGGGTATTGTGCAGCGTTTTCTGAACGTCTCTCATGTAGGCTTTCCCGCTAGGCTTTAAAAGGGTTGCCTTTTTCAGATTTTTCTTTGTTTCCTGTGTTTAGAGTCATAGGGCAGCCCAGGTGGGAAGGGACCTCAGAAGGTGATCTGGGCCAGCCTTTTGTGGGAAAGGGAGCCTAGGTGAGGTTATTTAGCACCCCATCCAGAAACCTCCAGCAATGGGGACTTTACCACATCCCTGGGGAGGTTTGTTCCACTGAATGATTGTTTTTACCGAAAAAAAAAAAAAAATTGTTTTAATGATGACCTTCAGAATCAATGTCTGTCTTCATTTTTACAGAGATCGAAAATTATATAAACTGGGATTAAAAGGATTTTATGTCAAGGATGACAATGACAGTACAGGTAAGGTAATAAAATGCAATATGATGTGCAGTCATACTTAAAGTGAGTTATGTGTGGTTATTTAAGTTGTTCTTATTTCTGGCTTGTTTTTCAGTACTTTTGTTATGGAGATAGATGTAAGTAATAACTTGCTATCTTGCTAGCTCCAGCATCATGTAATAGCTTGATTTGAAAGGAAGAAGTCTGAAGAGAAAGGAATGTCCATAGAAGCTGATAGTTAGTAGCACAGGTTAGATGGAAACAATGTGAGAGAAGTGAAGAAGGGGAATGTAAACTATGGTTTTGTGCATGTATGAGTTAGTTGCAGTGAGTAATCAGTTAAAACCAGAAGGGTCTTGTGCTGTGTGTAATTCAGCAGAAAATATATCCTGACTTAAAAAATCTTAAATATTTCGGTTTTATCGACTGTGTCACCAGCTTTTGTATTTCGTAATTTCCACCAATATACAGTTCCTACTTTCTCAGTGGCATTTGTCACTTTATATACATATGATGTTGCTTAAAAATTTGATAGATGTGCAAGCAGTGGTTCGGAAGGTGATCAGTTACTTCTGAGATAATTAGGTTCTGTAGTTCACACATTACATTTTTATAAAATCATATTATCTTTGTTAGTGTGGTTTTGAAAGATTTGTAACAAACCCCACACCCTCTACCCCAGTTCTTATTGCTGCACATCACATTATATGGTATGGACTATCCTTTTGGCCAGTTTGGGCCGGCAGTGCCAGCTCTGTCCCCTCCTGATCTCTTGCTCACCCCAGCCCACTGGGATATACTGTCCACCCTGTCCACAGTGTTCTAACCACCATAGAGGCTGCTATGAAGAAAGTTAACTCCATCCCAGAGAGACCCGGTGCAATGTTTTGGCTGTCACAGTTAGATTTTAGTTGCTACTGATAGTTATGCAGAAATTGAGGTATTTGTGAGGAAAATGTTAAATGGGAAAGGAAGCTTAAGAGGCAGTTCTACTGTTTTTTTGTGGATCATGCTGTGGTATTGAGGTATCAGAACCAGATTATATTCACTTAATGTAATTTGTTAATAGAGGAGCAACAAGCATCTGAGGAGGAGAACCGTTGTCCCAATGTGACATTAAAGGCAGATACTAATCATGCTCTGGACCTGGAAGAAGTTGAACTCGACTCAGAGGCTGAGCTTATGAAGAGCATGGGGTTACCTCTTCAGTTTGGTGGGCAGTCAGCCCACAGGGACTTTGTGGTAAATCTTTATTTGCTTTATTTGTTCTGTTTCTTTTGTGTTTCCAGATTTTGGGGCATGTCTACTCTCAGTTATTTTGGGGACTGCAGTTCATGGAAATGTATCCAAGCTGCCTTTAAACTGCCTGCCTTGCATGCTAGTAACAACATACAGCATCGCGGTCCGTGCAGTTTGTAAAATCCACCTGCCAGTTTGACTAAACAGAGTCAGGCTGTTCTTCATGCTTCCATATCTATACTGCTCATACTACTAGAGGAGCTAGTTTAAAACAGCCGCGGTAACATTAATGTTCTGCATCAGGACAACTAGTACACTCCAATCTGAGCATGTGTGTTCATACTGTCTGCTTTAACCATTTAGCTTTAGATGCTAATATAAAAAGCTAGTTTCTCAGATCCCCCTTGCAGCTGATAAAGCCAGGCTGTTCAGGAGGGCAGGAGTGAGGCTTGGGTGCTCTGCTTCCCATACAGAGCATTTGGGCTTTAGAGAAAGACTACAGTTGTTCAGAGATGAGAAAGAGATAGTGGGATATCCACATTGTCCGCTTTATGGAATACAGCCCTCCCTGGCAGTGAGAGGGTACTTTTGTGCAGAGCACTCCATGGTTCTTATTTACAAATTAATCAGGTCAGTAGGAGGAACTTGTACATCATTTTAGTTGATAGCATGTAAATAGACCTTACAGGCATCCAACTTCAAGCCCAAAGTATACGTGCAAATTTTGTTGCTATGTAGTAATACTGGAAATAATTTGAATGGGAAAATAATGCATGTTTTTACTAGATGAGTGCTAAGCGTTGTGCTTTGCACTGTGTGTATTAATATGACATTATGAGGGATGTTGATGAAAGATCCATGCTGGTTCTGTGAGCCTAACTTCTTTATAGTCCACCTTACGCATTTTTCAATGCAACAAAACTAGGGATTGCAGCTGATGGGTCACTTGGAGTAATATCTGTACGTTTGCAGTCTTCTGCCGATGCGAGTTGTAGTCCCTCAGCACTGCCTTTTTACCTGCCAAACTTAATTTAGCAGTTTATGAAAAAAATTTGCAGATCCATCTGATAGAAAGTCGTGCTTTTCTTGGATGTTTTTATCTTGTTTATATCTGTAAGCACAGGAAGCCCCACTGAAACAAGTGGAGTTGTATTTGATGAAACCAACAAGTTACCCTTTCAGCAACAGGTTTCTGTCTTTTGTTCCACTAGACAATGGTAGTAGTCTGAGTTTGTTGTAACAAGTGAAATGGTTGTATGGCACAAATAAAAGGGCCACCTGTTTGGACAGGAGGCTGTTTCCTTGTGTTTCCGTTAGCCAACTTGGAGATCAGAATGGAATGGGAAGAATACTACACCCCTCTTTTGGATCAGTGTCTTCAGACATGCAGAGATTCAGCTGCAGGATTTACAGAGCTTACGAGCATGAAGTGATGCTTTTTTGTTTAAAGCACCCAAAGATAGCAAGGATTTAATATTCTATTAGGCTGAGCGTTATATGTTCGCTACTCTGAGAAGACACCTGAAGAGTGTTTGCCAGCCACGCAGATACCAGGTGACAACTGAGATCAACCTCCACAGCCCCCTAAAACAGATCCTTGATTTTACTGAGATACTGCTTTACTGTTGAGCTCAACCCAGTGACCCCTCAATTCCTGGCCAACTTCCCTTTAGGATTTTATAGTGTTTCATGTTGATGTCTTTCCTTCTGAATCCTTGAATGACTTCCCTCTCAGTCCCCCTTCTGTCTGTAATTCTGCCTTTTTTTTGTGTCTGTCTTTCTATAGACTTTCTCACAGCTCTTTCTCACAACTTCCTCAGAAATGTCAACCAAGGTTATGCAGCGGGGGCCCCTATCAGACCTATAAACCCTACAACCTTTTGTGGAGAGAAAGCTAACAGCAGAGGTGCAGTGAGAGGGAGGGTTGCAATGGAAACGGAAATGTGCTTGGAGAGAGGACAAGAAAAGACTGCATGGACATTGTGGACTTCTAAGTATGTTTTTTCCATTCTCTTTTAGGCAGCAGAAAATTACAGAAAGAGAAGTAACATGAAAATTATGAAAAAGAAAAAGAAGAAGAAAAAAGAGTTACAGCAGAAACATGAGGATAAAAAAGGGCAAGAATGCCAGGATCGAGCTTGTGGTGGTCATATCAAGTCCATTTCTGGTGAGCTGGCCTTAGCTACAGAGCAGCATGAGAAGAGCAGCAAAGTTCAAGTTGGAAGGGAAGGGAACTCTGAAAATTCAGAAAGTCTTGCAAATGAGGCTTTACCCAGCGAACTTAAAGAAAAATGGGAGAAGTACTGGAGCGAGTATGGAGAGGGCCTTCTTTGGCAAAGTTGGCTGGAGAAGCATCAAGAGGTCTCATTGTCTGAGGTCACCACAGCCTCTGAGCCTTGGAACAGTCCAGACACCAGGGACGAGTGGGAGCAGCATTACAGCGAACTGTACTGGTATTACTGGGAACAGTTTCAGTACTGGACAAGTCAAGGATGGACTACTGAGAGCTCTCACAGTGACAATGTGGAAGCTAGTGGGGTTACTCAGGAGACGGGTCTTTCGGGAAGACTGGACTTGGTTAGCCGAGGGGCTGAATGCAGTGAAGTGCTGAGCTTGGAGCTGCTTCCCTCTAACACCAGAAGTGAGGAAACACTCCCTTCAAGTGCTGAGCCCCACCATGAAATAATCTCTGGGATTTGTAATTTAAATCTGAACTTGGAGGAGGTGGAACAGAGCAGTGCAGCTCTAACAGTAGCCTGCCAAGGTACTCAAGATCATAGTTCATCTGACAATGAAAGCCAGAAAGAGCCCTGTGATGGAGGAACCAGGAAAAGGGGTGCATCTTGTGAAAATAAAAGTATTAACCAGTCAGGTAATACAAAATCAGCTAAAATTGATTCTATCAGAATTTCTCTAAGTGGTCATATCTAAGATACAAGTGCATGTCTGTATTACGCCATTCTAAAAAAGTTGATCAAGTATTTTGTGGAATGATTGCATACTTGATTCCTTTTTCTTCCCTCTGCTTCTCTCAATGATCTCTCTCCTCTCTAACCTGTATATTAAAGGTATTCTTCAGCCAGAATTGATTTGAACAGAACATATACTTCATAAATCTTCTGCAGGGTTGGTGGGGTTTTTTTTTGCCTTCTGTCTAAAAATGCCATGCTTGGAAATTAAACTCTTGTTTTGTTGTACTGTGTTACTGTGGACCAGATGTATTCCAGACGTCTTCTCCGGCGTTAGGTTATCAATTAGGCAGTGAGCTGCAGTCACCTTTACAACCCCAAATTCATTTGTTCACAGCTAGTGCTAACAAGTGGAAGTGCCAGGTAACATAGCAGTATGGTGAAAGCCGGTGGCTGTGCCTTACACTACTGGAAAAGCTGTGAGGGAGGTACAAGACTGGACTGGAGACATTTTTGCCAGCCAGTTCAGCGTGGAGAGAGCCATCTCGTTTGCCTGCCAGTTCTTCCTGCTAGCATTCGCTGTAGGCAGCAGCGTAACATCTTTCCTGACTGTTTTATGGTTTCTCCTGCTGGAGAGGAGGGATGAAGCATGTGAGTTAAGTGTCAGTATCTTGGGACTTTAGTTTGGTGGGAAACCTCTTAAGTGCGCCTCTAGTGACTTTCTAGGGAAGGAGGAAGCAGGAGTGGTCCCATCTTGATCCCACAGTAGTATTGGAATGGGAGAGGTGAAAGGAAAAATCTCCTTTCCAATAAGAAATGAGAGGAGTGTTGCAGTCCTCTCTTATTAGATGTATGTGAATATCTTTGCGTAGTTAATGAAATGGAAACAAAATTTACACAGAAGGAAGAAAGTGTTTTGAATTTGTACCTTGTAGGCATTTTATTTTTCTTGGAGAGTTGAGATAATTTGAAATTGGTCCTGCTTAAGATCGTTAATTCTACAATGTAACTAATACTGGAAGCTTGTGTTGGTGTGTTGTCCCTCAAACAAAGACAAGTAAAGATATGTGTGTCTGGCACTTGTGCCTTTTTTGTCAGATTCAGGTATGTATGACAACGTAACTGTAGCTGCAAATGTACTTTGGGGACAGAAAGATAAGGAATTAATTTATGCAGAAGGAAAATATGATCTCGTCTATCTTTTTTAGGTTCACAGGGGTCATGTAGCTCAAATTCAAATGACAAAGAACAGGTGCTGCTTCGTGACCAAGATGAAGATGAGGATGAAGAGCCTCCTGAATACAGACATGCCAAAATCAAGAGAAGGCAAGTCAGGAAATTTAGACAAGCTTTTTTCTAAAGAAGGCCAGGTCCAGAAGCCTCCTGATTTATAATAACTATTTGTTTGATTGAGATTGTGAGTTAAAACTTCAGTCCAAAACCACATAGTCGTCCATCACTGCTTATACCTGGCAACAAGTGGGGGATATTTCTTCTCTTTTGTTGCTTTATGAAAACAATGTGTGGCCTCGAAGACTGTGCAAGGTGACAGTACTATTCTTGTACCACTGAAGGGCACAAGATTGTTAAATTGGATAGGACAACTTGCTTATCTAGGTCTAATTAGTATAGACAATATAAGAATGATAGGAAATAATTTGTATTGTTTAACTGAATTGTATGCTGCCAGTTAAGTGCTCAGTGCTAAGGCAATCATAAAATAGCTAATTTCTGCCTTGTCACAGTCTTTTTCTTCTCAAAAAATTTATAGCCTCAAAGATGATGAGATGACTCTTCCTCTAATAAATTTACAAACTCAAAGGTGAAGGGATGGATGGAATTATTATCTGCTAATCATGTAGCTTTGATTTTGTTCTAATATTTTGCTGTTGCCATAGCATTAATAATAGATAATAATATAGATAACATAATAGATGATGAAGGTAATTTGGAAATAGGGTGAACAAACACTACCTTCATCAGTTTGTTATAGAGCTTAATATTAATTCTAAGAGGTCATTCGGAATAGTTGGAATATTGTAACCCCAATAGAAGGACATATGTCCCTAGAATTGGGTAAAAAAAAAAGAAAAAGAAAAAGTATGTGCTCATGCATATGAATAGGCTGGTGTCATCTGCCTTGCTTGGTTTTGGCACCGTGTGGAAGAATTTACTGAAGCCCACATGTAAATGTTTTCAATAACGTGAGTTTCTTATTGGTATATCTGTAAAACAAGAGTGTTTTTTACAGTAAGTAACTTTGTCATCTGTATTTTTTTCTAGCCATGAACTGGACATGGATGAGAACCCAGTGGAAGATCCTGAGGAAACCTGCTCTGTTTTGGGTTTCAAGTGTGGCACAGGACAAAAGTAATTGCTTATGAGAAACTCGGGGTTTCTTCATAGCCAGTCAGCTCGCTTGTTATTATTCAAATAGACCATTCATCTCAATTCCCATTTTGTTAAACTTTTGAAGATGATTCCCGAAGTTAGTCTCTGCTCTTGATAAAACTGTCATCCTTTTGCTAGAGAGAGAGAGAGAGATGCAGAGTTACAGACGTTAATTAAAGAACAAGAAAAGTGCTTTGAAATAGAAGTGTAACTCCTAAGGTACTTGCAGTTATGTAAATGTTAAATGGCTGGTGAGCTACTTAAATTAGAGCTTAAAGACTCTGACAATGAATGGTCCTCTTGATTTGGAGTCCTGTGAGCTTTGATCATAATTTATAGCTGTTTCATATTGGAATGAGGTTGCTTTATCCTAGTGAAATGTTGCAATACTAATAAAATATTGCCAGGCAGTTGACCAGTGAAATTTCATTTTTGGTGGTATGACCTAAAGAGATGGTGGTCAGTGCTGTGGAAGTAACTTCATAGGGCTCAGGTGGACTGTAGCTTTGGTCTAGTGCATCTGCTAGATGCAAGTTGTTTAGTACATATGTATATATCTTTCAAAGAGGAGCGTGTTTTGTAGTTGACAGTCTCTGTTCTACTCTATAAAAATTACTTAAGTGAACTGCCCGTATTTCCTTTTTTTTTATTTGCATTTCCTAGGAGACAAAAGTAGCTGTTTTAGAGGTTCTTTACAGCCACCAAAATGTTGTTTTATTCTACTAATCAAGGTATTTTTTCATTTTATTCCCTATTCTTCAGGCTGGACTGGGAAATTGTTTCTATCTAAAGTTATACACCTATTAGAAAAAAAAAAAATTAAAAAATCTAAAACCAATTCAGGTAAACATTTTCAAATAAAAATATTTAAAAGTCTTCATGGAGGTACATTGTTTTGCAGCTACATCCAGTGGCATATATTTTAAGAGTGTAGCAAATGTCTCATAAAGAAATAATTTAGTCTAAATCATTTTCTGTAGACATCAACATTCATGTTAAAGCTTCCAGAGTGGAAATTAACCAACCAAGTCCTTATTTTTTTTGTTTCTCTTTTTTTTTTTTTTTTTTTTTTTTTTTTTTTTTTTTTTTTTTTTTTTTTTTTTAACTTCAGGTATGGTGGAATTCCATCTTTCACCCACCGAAGTGTGCAGTACTTGGAGAAAAAAGCAAAACTCAAGTCCAAATTCTTGGATATGCGTAAACCAAGGAAGAGCAAAAACACACACATCTTCTTTACAGAGGAATCTGAAACGTCTTGCAAAAAAAGTAAAACTTTGAAGAAGGTAGGGTTAGTTGTCAGTGTTGCTGTAATTCTTTGATTTATCTACTCGCTTAGCTGTTGTTGAATTACGAAAATGAAAAAAACAGTTGCCCAGAGTAGGTGGCATTTTTTAAGTGTCAGTCTATTGCTCTTTATTGGTTTTTTTGTTTGTTTGGGTTTTTGGGGTTTTTTCCCCCCTTTTTTCCCTGCTTAGGGGAAGAGTAGTTAGGTTAGGGTGGATATGGAAAGACATTGGTGGACTCTTGGCAATCTGTGAAGAGGACTGTGAGCTTAATGGCGAAGTTATGTGAAAGTCATTCCTAACATCTGCGTGCATCATTCCTTTAGAGGTGTGTGTAGTTTTCTATAGTTACTTAAAGTATCTTTGATTTTAAAATGCATGTGAGGGCATTTGTTAGTGCTGACATTTCAGCAGTGAGAGAAAAATGTTTGTATAGGTTAGTGTATTTCCCGTAACTCCATGTTCTTAGTAATTTGTGTCAATGCTTACACCCCTACCTACATTTATGCTTAATTATTCACTTTATGCTTCTTTTTTTTTCCTTTTAACTGAGAAATTGGTAATGAGTAGAAAAACTTGTTCATTGTAGATTTTTTTTTTTCTTTGTTGAGTCTCTGTTACCTCAGATTTTCAGTGTTACTTCACTGCCTTCTGGGATGCTTAACATTCCCTAACACCCAAGTTCAAAGCACTGTTTTCTGGTGGTGACAGCATATGTTGTGCTAAAATTTTTGATCAAAGACCTGACTGTTGCCATCTTTTACCTGAGGCCAGCGTAGTTCGAGGGCAACTTTAATTATGTGAAGAAAAAAGTTATAAATTTCCTCAGACTTTCTGGTAAGGAGCTGCCCCAGGCCTAGTGCCGCTCGGGGAAACTGTAACGTAAAAGTGAGCATCTGCATATGCCTTTGAAGAGTTTGGACTAGTGTCTGCACGTTGGTTAAGTTGTAATGTTGAGCTCTGTACTGTGCAGCAGAGCCCTTTAGCACATGCACCATTCGGTACATCTTGGAGATGAGGCCGTGTATGAAGGTAATTTTACCTGTTTATGCTAACCTGAAAGGCAGAGTACATCTTCTCTGAATGCAGATCGGAGAAAAGGCAATTGATTCAAAAGTAGTAGTCTTGGTCACCTGTGCTGTGGCAAGTCTGACTATTTATATTTCAGATATTACTTGAGAATGATTTACTGTATTTATCAGTCAATTTTGTGGAGTTCTCTTTTGCAAGTAGTTGGTATCTAGTTCCCAAAGACAACTTGTTTCCAAATGTTGTAAAAAGGGGGCACAGTTCATAGAACCATAGAGTGGTTTGGTTGGAAGGACCTTACAGACCACCCAGTTCCAACACCCTGCCATGGGCAGGGACACCTTCCACTACACCAGGTTTCTC